TACTTTAAATGTCAGCTTACGTTGATACATTTTAAAATTGGGAATGCAGATGAGAGACATGCCTCATCCTATGGGCACAGCTGCCCTCTGTGGGGGTTTTACCAAGGATGACAGTTGTAACTAACATCCATCTTTCCACAGAAATCTTGTCAGTGGAGGCTGCCTGAAATAATATAGCCTCCAGTGCACTGGTACATGCCTTCTCCAGCCTTCATTATTCAGTTAGAGGATCTGAAGTTATGGTGTGTTTTAGTGTGAACCCCGAGCTTTCAGTTACCTGCTGCGCTATTGAAACCCAAACCTGGGACATAGCCCTACCATATGTTAAGGCACCAGTGATGCTGCGTCTCTCCAGAAAAAAAACATGGCTGTCCCTGCACCCCTTTGTCAAAAGCACTGAGCACCATGTCTGCACCTTCTGCAGTGGGACAGTGAACCCAGATACTGCATGCTCCTCTGGTTCTTCCTCTATCTCCCAGGAGTTCGAGTATAGGAACGTGAGCATGCAAATAGATCAGAAAAACAATCTGTTCAACAACTGCTTTTCTTTTTTTGTCTCTTTTTAGTTATATATTTTTGTATCCCTCATCCTCTGAAATACCTTTTTTTTTTTTGTTTTGTCTTTCCATCTGATTTCCTCTTCATATTCCCTTTGTCATGACACTACTGCTCTTCGTGTGATGAGGTGGACCAGACTCGGGTTTCTTGCTGTTGAGAGCCATAGGGAATGTGGCAGTCTGGAAGAGCAGAGGTTTTTTTTCAGTGGTTCTTTCATACCTGTGCAGGTCATTTCGCTAGAGCATGCTTTCTCCTGTTCTACTTGATAAAGAAGACTTTCTCTTATACCCATGGGGGTGACTTGATATCATGTTGGTTTCAGCATAGCGTGAAATCACAAGAGCCCCTTGAGGTTTTCAGAGAATTGGTTGGCATTAGTGTAGGTGGGTGAGTGATGTTGTCAAAAATGTCACTGAGGCATAACCACCTCTGCTAATCCAATATGGACTCTCCTTGCCATGTGGTCAAGCTGCTGTAAGAGTCCTCGTATAAACGATTTTCCTTCCAGCTCCTGATAGCTCTCAATGTGAAGTGTACTTCATGACTAATTTATTCCGCCTACAAGATTGAAAAGCCAGTGTGGGTTCTCAGCTTACTTGGACATTGGTTAAGCCTTGATACTCATTAGAAAAATAGATCTCAAGAACAAATGAAGCTTTACAGAACTTAGGCTAAAATCAAACCAACATTTCTAGTTTTTGCTTGTCTACACACTACACAAAAGTGTTGGTGTATAGTCAAACAAATGCATCTCAAGATCATGTATTATTGTTCACTGCTGCACAAGCTGAGGGGAAGCTATTTAGTAGATACATCGATGTCCTTAGATTGACATGTTGACATTCTTGCAGCAGTCAAACACACAGATTCCGATATCCTTCCTTAGCTCCAGAATTCAAATTGACTTCCTATAGTGGGGTATATTTTGTCTTGATTTGTTTTTAATTTCTTTCTCTCCCTTCTTGGTTTTATTTTTCCTGTTTTCCATTGTTTTCATAAAAAACTTGGATGCCTTGTGTTATGTGCATAACCTTGGACTGTATTCAATCTCAAATAAGGTAATAAAAAAATAGTCTAGCAAATATAAGCTTAACTGCAGCAATATAAAATATTAACCAAAGAAAGCAGAGTGCTAACTTCCAACGCAGTGGAAAGAGAAATGCATTGAGTACAAAACCAAATTATTTTATTATAGTGACTAGTGTAAATGTTTGTGGTAGAAATATTCTGTGATACAGTTTTTAGGTATTTTTAGTATTCTACTGCTAACATATTTTTCACGTGCACAGTTGGGAGTTCAGTGCTTTATAGCTTAAGAAAAAAAAATTCTGCTAAGTGAAAGGTGTGTTAAATTTCTGGGATATTATGAATATATTCATATTCATGATATACAAAGTTTTACCAGGGTGCCAAAATTGTAGTATAACTTAGCAGTGATAATGAAATATTATCAAATGTTCCTATTTAGATTACAGGGTCAGTCAGGCAGTAATTGTCCCTATATTTTTGTAGAGCAACTAGCATGACAAAGACCAGGCTCCTTGGGAAATACTGTGATCATTTTTTTTTTTCTTAGGTTACATTTATTGCTGTTTGCAGAATCCTTTCCTGTTCACTCCAAATTGAACGGGATTGAACTCATGGCTGCTGGAGTAGCTTGGCTCCCTCATCCTCAAAATGAAAGCTGATATTGCAATTGTGATTTCTTTCACCATGACTATTAAGGCTAATAGGAACAAGACAAAACTCAGCATGAATGGTTTGCATGCCTAGGACGGCAACTGCAGAGTCTTCAGCTCCTTGTTTGTTTGGCACACAGAAATCTGTGCTGCTGAGCTGAAGTTACTGTCTTATCGTGACTCTGAACTGCATTGTATGCCAGGTGCCATAGCACTTGTTTCTCTGGTTTCTAAAAGATTCCTAGCTGAGAGTGATAGTCTGCCAATGGAGCGCATCAGCTTCTCACTTCTGCGTAGTCAGATTTGAAAGAAAAATACTTTGAGAATTCTTCTTTCAGAAGAAAAAATTTACAAGGTCGTTAGTGTGTGTGAAAAAAAAAGTTCACAGGGCCTCATTGTCTACACTTCCTTGTTACTGTTCTTGAGCAATATGCTGAAATCAAGTTCATTTAGGATACATGCAGGACTCCAGGCAAAGCCAGAAAGCCACTGAAAAGACTCTCAGGGTAGAATTAATCTCAATTAATTTTATATATTTAGTAGTTAGATGTTTAAATCGAAGTTTGTCACCTTAGACAATGAAGTGGCTTTGAGGCCTCAAGGGAATGATTCATCTGCTCTGTTTGAAATATTTATCTTGAGATGAATTGCCCCATACGCCTGCCTGTTTCTTTCTAGTGACTAAAAGGACACCAGGGAGATTCCTAAACTGAGGCAGACAAATGCCATCCCTGATGACTTGGATGGGGCTTGGTTGAAACTTTATGCCACGTAAAAACCCTGGTAATTATATAAACAAATTGTACCCAGCGATCTCTGAATCTCTTCAAAATGCAGCTCCTTTTCCTCTGTACATTCATTTTTAAATAAAGGATGCAAATAACTTTTCCTGATATTTTAATAAAGGCTCATAAGGTTTCAGTACCGTAAAAATGGACGCACGCATTTTACTGTTTTATTGGAGTACAAAGATATTTTGGTTATTGCACTGGAAAGATCTCAGAATAGATGGAATTCTGGGTTTGGAGCCACAAGCCAACTGATCTGTTGTGTGAATCACTTTTCTTTCTTTGCTCCAGGTTCCAGTGCAGTGGTCTGATATGATCACACTGAAAGCTAGGATGACCAATTACGGCCTACCTAGGTACCAGTGGCTGACCCATGCTTGGAATTTCTTTCAGAGGGAGGTAAGACAACAGTTAATTAATGAGCAGAAGTAATACATGCTTGATTAATGTTATTTATTTGCTAAAAGAAAAGGTTTATTTTTAAGTCAAAAGGTAAATAAATGCAAATTCATTTTGTGTGAAACCCTGAGCAGTGATGATATCTTTTAACATCACTTGATATCCAACTTCTGAGCTTTTGTGGGCCCTAAAGATACTAAAACACACACAAAAAAATGTTACTAAATTCAGTTTAAATTGCTAACACTCTTCTCCTTTGCCAGTAGTGTTAGGACACAAACACCTTTTAGGATTATTATAACTTTAAGAATGTGATATGTAAAATTAAAAATCCATATGTAAAGTAAAATGAACATTTCTATATGCTGTTTTAATATTAAACTGTATTCCCCTTCCTGTAGGGTCTGTTAGTTTCCTTTCATGGAGCTATCATGGCTAAGATAACATGTTTAGCTGCAAATGAGTGGGAAAGGAAGCTTCCAAAAAAGTTCTTCAGCTGAGGTTTAAGAAAGTGATCAGGGTTTTTATTTCCTTTGAGAGGGCAGGAAACAAACAAAAATGCTTCCTTTTATATTCACAGCTTTGCCCTTTAGCCTACTAAAATTTAGAACTCTTTTTAAAGAATTAAAGTATTACGTTACAAAAACATGAAATTGCCCAAGGTAAAACCCATTAACTCCAAATATAACTCACATGCAGGAAGAGAACTCTTTAAATGTCTGTCATTGTGCTGCCCTTGTTGAAATGTTGAAATCTGTCATTGTTGCACAGATTTCCTGTTTATTTAAACATTTCCTGACAGCACTTGGTTAGTCTGTATTTATACTAAAACCTGAAAGAAAGAGTGAGGAGTACATGAAGTTAAACACCCCTCCACCCTCTCCAGTCCCCTACTTTGGCTAGGCAAGTGGCCTGTGAAACAGAATAATGCTTCATACACAGGTATTTGTGTCTGTTCTGTACCTAAGATAATATAATAAAATGGTCTTGATTTCCCTGGATGGAGCTGATACTGTATCTTGGTTTAAAAGTATAGGTTGAATAAATTTAAAGCTACCTCTTGTACTCCTGGTTGTTGTAGCATAATCATAATGGCTGCTTTTAAAATGAGTATTAGTAATAAAACTCGTAACATGCCTTAACTCTTCCAGAGGAGAAAAAGTTCCTTTTAGAATTTAGATTTCCTATATTCCATCTTGAACAGAAGAATGATTTGAGCAAAATTTGAAGTGAACTGAGAAGGCTGTTTTACAGCTCCTAACTAATTGGTGGGCTCTCATTTTTACTCTGTCTACTCATTACTCAGATGGTGGATGTGTGAGCCTGGTATGTGCTGTATGCCTCAATGAGCACTATGCTTGGGGCTCTTCTTAGTCAGCATTACAATTATTTTCCTAAAGAAAAAACTTGTAATTACAGCTTTGTTCCTAAAGATTCAGCCCTGATCAGCTTTGTGCTCTTTCTTCTGTACCTTTTAACATCTGAGAGAGATAGGAAATGTATTTTCCTCCCAACCCCTTTGCGGATCTAATATTGGAGTTCTGACTTTGCCAAGGAAGAAAAAAAGGGTGAATTGAAGTCAGGAAGGAAGGACTGGGCAGGGCAGGGAAGAAAAGATGTGAGAATAATAAAATGATGTTTAATCAGGTTGTCTTTGCAGTTACAATGAGGAGCCAAAGTTTGAGCTTTCCTTAGAAAGTCTGGTGTTGGGAGGATTTTGACTGACCACAGCTTTAATGTCTCGGATAAAAACAGAGACATTAAAGCCATGGTGAAAAAGGAAGAAGTGAGAATTGTAAGAGGACTGGTGAAGTCAAGGCACAGTGTGTGCAAGCGTGGTGTCTGGGCACTGATCTGCGTGATTGTGACTGAGGAGCGGTGTACAGGACTCTGGCTCTGAAGTGGGTAAGGGGAGCAAATGTTCCCAAGCCCGTGGGTCAAATGAACCAAGTGATGAATTACAAATACTCAAGAACTTCCAGACAGAAAAAAAGCAGCACTTTGTTCCTGCAGCGAGGCTTTTTTTTCAGTCTTCATCCAATGCTGAAGACAATCTAATATAGCTGCTTCAGCCCTTTTTTATGTTAAAGCAGCTAGGAATGTGGTAGTTTGGCTTTAAATCTCTTGGTGTGCTTTGCAGAGGAGAAGACAGGTTGTTAGTCCTGGTGGTTTTTATAGCCAATTATGGCTCATCTGCTTTGCAGCAGACTTCCTACGTTTATGGTCGATTCTGTTGCAGTGTTTATTTTAGTGTGATACTCCTTCCTTCCATTTTCCTTTCAGTGTTTGTGATTTCGATACTTTTTTGCTCACTTTTTTTTTTTTTTTCTGTGTTCAGATAAATCTATGCTTTTTCTCAAACAGATGTGTCCATAGTTGTAGCCTTGCAGGAATAGTCCTCACTAATAAGACCTTTATCCTCTTTTCCTACTGCTTACTTCAACCACAGGTATAGCTGTTCATTAGTCACCTTTTTGACATGAAATTATTGTGTGTTAATTCCTTTGTAGTAAGGATAGCAGAATTACAGGGTAGGACAATTTCTGTGAAGTATCCTTTGAGGCAACAGTTGGGATTTAGAGGGCAGAGCAATATAATTGGCTGTTTCTGACATGTTCCTTGGTCACTTAATTACATTTTTCATGTTGCCTTTGTGTCAAAATTCAGCAAAATAAGAAGTGGGAACTCTTGTAGATGTTTAGTCCTATGCAGATATATTGAAAGTTGTTAATGGGAATTTATTTAGCTTTTTTGATGACGTACTTTTATGAAGAATTAGCATTGTTATTGCTGATCTTGGCTAATCCTTCCTTTGCAGTTTAAATGTTGTGGGGTGGTGTACTTCACAGACTGGCTGGAAATGACAGAGATGGACTGGCCGCCTGACTCCTGTTGTGTCAGAGAATTCCCAGGATGCTCTAAGCAGGCACATCATGAGGACCTAAGTGACCTTTATCAGGAGGTAAGAAGAAAATATGGACATTTCAGAAGGCTTTGTATGTGCTTCCCGATCAAGTAATTTTCCAAAATCGTTACTTTCAGTGCAGCAGAAAGGTTTGTAGAGTAATTGTGTTTATGGAAAATGTTTATTGCCTGGAAGTGAGATAAGCTGGTAGCAATGCAGTTACCAGCTGAGATATGCTTAAACATTGAGGTATTTGTTTTATATTGATTAGGTTGGAGTTGCAATTTGCTCCAATCAAAAAAACCCCCTCCAACTAACCAACCAAAAAAAAAAAAACAAAAAACCAAACCCCAAACAAACCCCAGTTCTGGTGTAATGTCCTGTCTCCAGCTTGCCAAACTAAGAGTAACTCTACTCACCCTATGGTAATGAGGACTCTAGTGGTGTTTACAGTGAAGGATGCTTTTGAGAAGTCCTTTGGAAGATGAGAGCTCTCTTGTTAACAGGGCTCATGCAAGGAGATGGGTAATTCAGTTGTTCCACTGACAGCATGCATAGAAACTTTCTGTGAAAATGGTCTTTCTCTCTAACTCTACTACATTATAGAATGATTATTATTTTAAAATAATAATTTAAAAAAACCCTTAAAAGCAGGAGAGGACCTGTTTGAACTCAAAGTGGGTAAGGGAGGAAAACACAGTAGCAAGTCATTATTGTTCTTAAAGTGAAAATGATAAAAACAAGCCAGCATGTTCTCTACTAGAAATCTTTTAAATGTTCTCACAAAAGTGTTGTAAAAAGTCACCTTCGTCTGGAGACTGATTTGCTACCTACCTTTGTGGTTTTGAGGTTTGTTTTTTTTTAATGTTAACAGACCTCTGAAGACTTTTAATTTTGCATTCAGTAATTTCAGAAAGACCAACAGTCCAGGTAGTCCAGTAGCGACAAAAACATGTCTCAGTCAAGTAATTATGAGGGTCTGAGAAGAGGTGCCTTCTTCATTTGCTTGTTTTAAGAGGAAGGAGAATGGGTGTGAGAAGGGTGCTTTCCGATGCTGCAGCATGAACACTTCTCTACTGGACAGTGAAACTCTGCATTATGGAAGAGCACCCAAAGAACCATTTTATCTTGTTACAGTGTCTTACTGCTGTTCAAGACTGTTTCTTACAAGAATCTATTGTGTAGCTCTTGTTCAGGAGCCATGGAGAGAACCTCTGAAGCAGGAGAGTTTCACTATATAAACAAGCCAAGATGAATATTAGGTATTGCCAGGAAACAACAAAGTTTTGCAGAAATGGCATCACTGACATGGAGTGATTTGCTGGATTTTTATGGCATTGATTCTATGAGCAGAAATTATATATTCTATTCTGGATTTCCAGACTTCCATCCTAGGCCTCTTGTACTTCCACTAGGAAGACAGAAGGTAGAGTTGCCAAAAGGTAGGTACCTCAGAAGGCCAGACTGTGCTAGACACTGCCAGAGGCTGTTTTCTTTCTACTACTTGGTTGTAGACCCTCTCCTTCCTTATGTCAAAGCTTGCAGCAATGAAGTGCTGAGTTTAGAAGTGTCAGTTTCTGAATGGGAAAGCCATCCAGGCTTCTGGGACCTGCCAATCTCTTACACATTCTTGAAGAAGAAAGAACTGTGGCTAACTCTGCAATAATAGCTTTTTGTAATGTTGTTGCCCATATTAATACTATACAGCCCAACGCTGCCATAAAGAGCCCTCAAGGAGGGTGGGCGTGTGGAAGTTGCTGAACATTCAGTTGCCCTGAGCGTCTTTCCTGCTTATGTGAAAAGACAAGAGTACATAAGCAGTGTCACTCAATAAAAAACTCATTTTTTTGCCCAGGAAAATAAAAAATTTCTGAGAAAGAGTACTAGTCACTGGTGGGTCTTGTCAAACCTTCAAGGTTTTCTAATCTCATCTCTTCTGTTAACATTGCATTCCCACAGCCATAGTCCAGGAAAGTGGTTCTCTACGCACTTTGTATGTTCAAGTTCTTTTGGTTCTAGAGTAAATCAATAGCCAAAGATAATGATGATGTAGAACATAAAAGCTTTGTTGAGACCCACTTGATAAAAAAAAAAGGCTTCCTGGCTTTTTTTCTAAAAGAAACCTGAAGGGCACATTTCTGTTTCTTCCTCTGCTATGCTCCAGAGCGTTTTGGATGGATTCAGTTCTTGGCAAAACTTCATTTTTGGTTGTCTACTGCAGAGTCTGTTCCAAGAAGGAACAGGCTATTTTCTGTTTTACCAGCCACAAAAATACTCCATTGCTCTTTGAGATATGTACAATATTGGGTTGGCAAAACATTTTTTTTCCCCATGGCGCTTGCCTGTGGGTTGTCTCACAGGCTCATACAGTATACTTGCTAATATGTTTATTAATATCATGCAAAACCAACTTACCCTTGCAAGGCTAATCTATCTGACTACTGCTTTGGAGAACTGAAGGAGAAAAGCTTTTTTAGAAAGTGATTCAAAAGAAAGTTGCGTAGTCTGGTGGTTTGAGAGGGAGCCTGACAAGATTAGCCTCGCTAGCCTCAAATTGGCTTATGTAAATGCTTCTCAAGTCCGTTCTGTACTTCAGAAAAATTCTTTGTCGTACTTCAGAAAACTGAGTTTGGTTTGGCTGGGACTGATAAAATTGTTTTGTTGTAACTGTGCTGTAATGTTGTGCTGTAATCTTAGAGCTTTCTGTAGTCTAAATTGGAATCCTTCACAATACAATTTTTTTAGAAAGAAAGGTGGCTTACTTACAATTCCACTTGAGAGTATTTTTGGCGGGAATCAAGTTTCCCCTGCTATATTTTGAAAGCTATTTTTCAAATGTGTTAATCTTCTTGGACTGTTTTTATTCTGATGAGCTTCACCTTTGGTGCAGTTCATGGAATGGACTAACCTTAGAAAGAGCCTGGTTGTGAGGGAGGTGCATCAGATGACCATGTGGCCTCAGAGGTTCATTGTGGCCTGAGGACAAGGAGAGCTCTGCCTCTCTTGTGATCAGGAACTGTAGCCTAGATAAATGATTGGTAGGAGTTGATATCTTCAGAAAAATCAAAATTGTGTATTCACTATTTTGTTTTCTAGCATAATTTCGAGTATACTCAGAATTTGAGTGTACAACAATCTGTTGAATATGCTGATGGTTTATCTTTTCTAGTCTGGGAAGTGCCTTATTTCAGATCTGGTCCTTATTCTGTGATGTTGCAGTAAATCAGAAATACATACTTTGTTTCTGTTTTAAGACTGAAAATATAAAATGGCCTTTGTAAAAAAAATATGAATCGGGCCTTTAATCCATAACCCTGTGGGAGTTTGAAACTAGCTGTTCTGAATGATCGTTGCAAAGTTTTGTGCTGTTTTTGAGTTGTCAACAAGAGTTCCCTGCTTAATGACAAACTTCTACTTTTGATGAGGGAAGTATATTTATGTACTTTTTAATTACCGGCTACCAACTATGAATGTGTTGCATGAGCAGAAATAAAATGCATGAATGTGAGGATAAGCTTCTACTTTTGATGAGGAAAGTATATTTATGTACTTTTTAATTGCCGGCTACCAACTATGAATGTGTTGCATAAGCAGAAATAAAATGCATGAATGTGAGGATAACTGGGGTGGCTGGATATTTTTCAATTTTGAAACTGATTTTGAATGTGTATTAGAGCAGAACTGTAAGAACATCATTAAATGGAGGGAGGCAGTCTATCTAGATTGGGCATAATTTGTCTCACTTATGTGTCTGTACTGCAGGAGATGTTGGCATTAATGTTACTGCTCTCTGTTAATGGATGTTTCCTCTAGGCAACAAATGAACTGAATTTGAATACTGCTGTGGTTGAGCATTTTTAAGTTGTGACCAGCATGTACCTTCATCCCTTAAAGTTATCAAAAAGTATTAAAATGCAGCCAGTTTCTCTGTAATTAAAAACAAATTTGGAAAGTAGTATAATTACAGCACTCTCTTCTAGTTGAAGAAAAAAAGACACCAACATGGCAATTTTTGTTCCTCGTTAAGTTCAATTACATTGCTTTTGCTACAGTGTTTCTTTTTCTTTTCACATTTCAAAGGATCCACGTTTACTCCTTGTTCTGTGTCTAAACTAGGTAATGTTTAGAAAATGACACAGTGAAGTGATGAGCTGAGCAGAGACATTGAGATCCTTTAACTTATTCTGGTATGATTATCATAGATCATCATATAGTACATTAGTTTTATTTAGATCCTAAATGATCTAAATAAACTGCAGTGTGAATTGTGTGTGTGAGGCATGAATCAGACCTTTCATCAAATACATTCAGGACTGTAGCATTTGAAATTGTTGGCTTTGGGGAATTTCAGTGTGATTGAAAACTTTCATTTATCATGTCCTGTCTTCAGATTCTGTCACTTTGATCAATTGCTTTCTTTTCATAGAAAAGCTGTAAGAAATATGTAGTAGGGATATAAACACAAAAATGATATTTTGGAGACAGTGCCCATTTTGATGGATTCCTGATGTCGTCTTCTGGGACCAATGTCTATTGGTACTTGTGATGTTATCCCATCCAGTTTGTTACTCTGAATTTCCCCTTGGTGGTTGTGTTCCTTGATTTTTGTGCTGTGAAGCCCTGCAAAGTTTAGAATAGAGAATAAGCATGGGCCAGGGTAGCTAAGGGCCCTATCTTCAAGATTTTATCCTTTCTAAGAATAAGCATCACCTTTTCTGAGCAGTAAGCGTTACAGCTTTTGTTTGCACTGTTATCCAGTAATTCCTGGAGATGCTTTGTGTATCCTTGCTGCCTTACAAGGGCTTGGGAGCTTTCCTGCAGCCTCGTACAGTAATTAGTTGGCCACGTAAGCAAACTGTAGACCATGCACTGATGGTTTGGAAAGAGCTAAATTTCTGTTTCAGAAAAACATTAACTTGTGATGTTTTAACATAGTTTTAATTAGATTTTTTTCTGGGTAAATAATAATAATGGTTCTGTAAATAATTACAGAGGTGATGTATGTGACTATCTTCCTAATAGAGCATGTGGATGGTCAGCTCTTTGGAGCAGGGTCTAGCTGCCTGTCTGGGTTTGTGCAGAGCCTGATGCAGGGTGGGTTCTTACAGCGGTTCTCCCAGTAGTTCGAGACATTAGTGTGCTTTAAGTAGCAACAATCCAGCACAAGATATGAGGCAAAACTGACTCATGGTATAACACTATCACAGTAATTGACAGGGAAGTTTCTACATTCAGATCAGAAATTAAGCCAGTTAATTTTAAAATACAGTCTATGGATAGGGGAGGTAGGCAAAGTGTAACCTAGCATAAACAAAATATTGAATACACAATTTTGATTTTTCTGAAGATATCAACTCCTACCAATCATTTATCTAGGCTACAGTTCCTGATCACAAGAGAGGCAGAGCTCTCCTTATGCTTTTTGTGAAGAGGAGATGCTTTGAGTTCAAGAATAAAAAGCGGCAGTAATGCTACAAGTATGTGGTATTATTCCCACTAAGTACTAAAGAAAGTCTGTTTGTACCCACTGCATTCTGGAATCTGTCAGAAGTCCTCTGTTAAAGGTTATTCTGTTCGGTGCTCCTTGTTCAGACAGTATCTGGAATGTAATGATTTTTCTACTCCCTAGGGACTTTCTGCAGAACTAATAAACTGGCATATAATGAGTCCACATAAAACACTAAAAGAGAAAAGGTGGGAAGAGACACTGATGAGGTCTGTAGATCTCTCCTAGAATATTGTTTTAACTTCAGATTGTGAAATTATTTGTAGAAAAAGTCTAAAGAGTTTAAAATAATTGACAACCTTGAAGATCTGCAATTTACGGAGAGAAACAAGACAATTAAGAGGATTTAATGGCTTTTAAACCTTCACAAAACCAGTTGTTTCTTTAATAATCAGGGATAGTTGATAGAACTCAGATCAACTATGAGTGATTTCTGAATTTAAGACTAACACAGATTTCTTGGAGCTTGTTACATGCAGCAAACTCTCAGTGTATGAAAAAACTTATAATGGCAGCAATTAAAAATAGGCAAAATAATTTTCAAAGTGTTGTTTGAAGGAGGTGAAGGAGAAATTTTGGGGGAGCCAGAAAAGCCAGCACTAGGTAAGATGAGATAAACCTTGGGAACTGCAAGCCAAAGAATATTGACTAATTTTTTTTAACCTATTTTTGTTTCCTAGGGATGCGGTAAAAAGATGTACACTTTTTTGAGGGGAACAAAGCAATTGCAAGTGCTGAGATTTCTAGGAATCTCTATTGGAGTTACGCAGATCCTGGCTATGATCCTCACTATTACTTTACTGTGGGCTCTGTACTACGACAGAAAGGATCCCGGAGCGGGTCAGATGATGGCCCTGAAGAATGATACCTCGCAGCAGCTGTCATGTCATTCCGTGGAGCTACTGAAACCAAGCCTGACAAGAATCTTTGAACACACATCCATGGCAAATAGCTTTAATACACACTTTGAAATGGAAGAGCTATAGGTGATGCAATGAATCTGAGAAGTTGTAAAGGATTTTAATTGGTTTTGGTTGTTGGTTTTATTCTGTTCCATCAAGTATACCAAATACACCAGTCTTTGTATGCCTCAGAAAACAGCTAATGAATGGAAGTGAAAGAGACCAGCACAGAAAGAAGGATAAACCTGTCAGCCTCTTAGCTATTGCCTCAGCCATGAAACAGAGTTTATTTAGTTTGTTTGTTTTTTAAAAGGCACTCATTCACTGGGCACAATAATATTTAACTTATTGTCACAAGCCATGTGATGCGGAAAATACTGACTCTTCACAAGTAGACAAACAGAACATCTAAGGAAGCATCATGGGAAAGGAAGAGAAATACTTATCTTCTGAAGAAACCGCTGTACTTTGGACAAACAAAATGTCACTTCAGTTGAAATTGACTTTTAAATTTTTAATAAGCCATTTGGAAAATGTCTTAATCAGGGATCTATGTATATACAATTGTGTGGTTTTGTGTGTGCATGGAAAGCAGAACTACAATTCAAGTTATTACTTGGATTTAAAAATTTGCAAGATTTGTAAAAAAGGCGAGATTTTCTTTTTTCTAACAAAACCTTTCTTAGCTGTTGTTGTTGAAGATGTTCTAAAGCTTCTATTTTTATCTAACAACTGTTTAATTTTTAATTTTAAATATATATTAAACAGGGATTGAAAACAAAACTGACTCTGGACAATAGACTGCAATTTCCTGAGTAATTCTGGAGAATTCTGCTTTGAAACAGTTTGTTCTATGGACTATTTCTTAGTGAAAAGAAAGAAAACCTTAAACATTCTTTCCAAAATGGGAATCAATATAGGAGTAGCACATTTTTATAGAGAAGCCTTTTCTCCTGTCTGTGATTCCCCTGAAGGTAAAAACAAAAAAGACTACAAGGAAAATGCTTACAGTTCTGGATGCTATTGCAATAATTGTAAAAGTACATAAGGAGAAGTTATACTTTGGCAGCTTCTTCCTTAAGAGCTCTCTGGTGGCTTAAAATGCCAACTGGAAACAGCATTAAAATGTATTTATTGATGTGGGGAAAGTGCATTTTACTGTATTTTTATGAACAATGTTTATTTCATAGGATTATTTTTACAATTGGCCACGCTCCTGAAATATATATTTGTTCCACTGAGTACAGTAGTTTGTGGCAAATGGGTTTTTACATAATAGTACATTTTAAAAATTCTTTCATTTGTTTTGGAATTTGTAAAAGAAGAAAAAACCACAAGGTGTGATTTGGTAGACAATAAAATTACTTTTGTCTTAAATTCCATAATGACTTTTTTATTTGTAAGTCCTAGAGTGTGAATGCTTTGGGTGGGAGTTGGGAGGGTCCTCCTGCTAGTGTGAGTTAATTTGATGTGTCTTTTCCCATTCCACTTATTTTGTTGTGGAGGAACTGCATCGTAAATTTAATTTTCTTTTTTTATTGCTTCTGAAAAAGCTTCTTTAGGGCTCATGAAATTAAGCTCTGCAGTTGTGTGGGCTGCTGTTTGTTTTTTACCAGTCTACGTGTGGGTGTAACTATTTCACGGGTAGTAGTGCAAGCAAGATTACCTTTCTGCTTTTGTACCTCTCCTACAGAGGTGCTAATGCTTATTTTGGGAGGTAAGAAAAAGGCTAAAGGATAGACCGCTCGGAGCATCTCTGTGTCACGCACTGTTTAGGAAGCCTTGTTGCCCAGTGTTACTGCAGACATCCATCCTTTCACTGTTTAGCCTGGGCAGCGTTTCTGTAGATAAGGGGCGAGGTGTCCAAGAAAGCTTGGATACAGACCAGCTCTAGACTTTGGGCTGCTACAGAGACCTGTGATGCTAAACAGTGGATTGAGCTGTTGGTTTTTTTCCCTGTTTAAAGAAACAAAACAAAACCAACCAACCAAACAAACAAAAAGCAAACCAAAAAACCCAAACCAAATCAAACCACAAATTGTGGAATCTTGATTGCAGATTGCATGGACACAGCTACCTTGCAGCTGGATGTAGGGTATTTCACCATAAGCGACACAGCTACCTTCAGCTGTGGATTGCAGCTGGATGTAGGGTATTTCACCATAAGTAATGTAAAAAAGGAAATCCTGACACTTAAAGTTTTACCCAAGGAGTGTCTGTGGAAGCTCCCTTAGCCATGCTTCAGCCATCCTGAGTCCTCCCATGGGAGGACTCCCCACGCTATCAGTGAGCGTTGCCTGTGTATCTTCTTGAGTCCAGGTTAGAGCTCATGGAGGAACAGATATGGCAAGCTTTGCTAGGGAGATAAGTTGGAGAAGTCCACGGCTAGAATTAGAGATACTGACAGCCTAGAGCATCTGTAGTCAGAGTAACCTCACTTGGGCTTGGCTACCCAAATCCTGAGCCAGTCTCTGTTAAGTATGGGGCTAGTTTCATTAGGGGAAAGACCCACATGCCAGGAATGATGGAAATATTCCCTTCCCTAGTAGGGACTACTGATGAGTATTCTGGGAAAGAATCCTTCTGTTTTGAGTATCTAACCACGCTTACCAAAAGAGGTCTCAGCTGTAAATTTTAACACTTTCAGACTTTCTTCTTGCACTGTGTTTAGGCTATGAGCTGTCTCTGTTTTCCTAGGGCTTGTTCAAAGAGCCTTAAAATTGATTGACTAGGCTGCTGAGAGCCTGTTCTTTTCCTGTAGAGCTTTAGGATATATGTAGGAGAGAGGCTGCTTGGCAAAAGGGGAACATTTAGATATACTTGCAGCAGTGAAAGCTATTTCATCCTTTTATTTCCTTTTTCCCTCAGTTTTTCAGGAGTGCCCAGAGAAGGGTGGTGTGTTCGCTCTTCTCTGCAGCATGAACTGTAATGAACCGAATCTTTCTTCTTGCAACAAGCAACTGTGGAGCTGCTCCTTAATGTTTTTCACAGATAGTTTAATGTTGAGGAGAGCAAGTGTGTTAAAAAGTGGGTCACTCTCTGCCTCCATCAGGTGTTTCCATTCAGCCTAATGAATCATACTGAGTCCCCGGGTCTCTGCCTGTAGCAGTGGGGCTGAGTAAGGTTTGCACCACCGAGTCATGACTTGGGCTATAGGGATGCTTTTAGGAGACAAAATTAACTGCTCCTCATCTTTGGACAAGATACTGCCTCATCTGCCAGCAGGTCATATGACAAGGCTTTCTGAAGGAAACATAGCTATGTTTGGAGGATCCAGGAGGATGCCCCCTCCCTGGAAGTGTTCAAGGCCAGGTTGGATGGGGCTTTGAGCAACCTGGTCTAGTGGAAGGTGTCCCTGCTTTTGGCAGGGGGGTTGGAACTAGATGATCTTTAAGGTCCCTTCCAACCCAAACCATTTTATGATTCTATGAATCTGTTATTTATAACAGTTAATTTTGTAAAAGCAACCCATAAATATAAGGGAATATATAAAGAATAAATAGTAAAAAGAGAGGCTGTTGGTCATAGTCACTATACAGTTAAATATGATGGAGACAGCAATTTTCAAATAGTTTTTGAAGTTTTTGCCGCAAAAGCATTATGTTTAATTCACATGAATTGCTATTATTGAAGTGAGATTGTATCTAAACTTTAAAACTTGTGTATGATTGACTACATTTCTTTTTTTAAAAAATGGGATGTCCTAAATACTTCAGAATTTTTACACATCTACTTGCTCTTTATTCAGCACTCCTCCACCTTCAGTTGTTTCTTGTACATAGATAGTAGGAAAATGGGTAGCTTGAAAGTAGATAAATAGATAATATAGGCAGGTAAGAAACTAAGCTGTCCAGGTAAATATGGATATCTCGCAAACTTTGTCAATCCAAATATATTGTTCACTCCTGAGTGCTCTTTTAGCTGCATGTTTACATATCCTGGCAGCTGATTGCTATTCCAGAACACTTAAAAATATTCAGATGTTTCTGTTGTCAATAGGAAAATAAAGTCCTGGTGGGCCCCAGATGTTGGAAGGAGAGAGTATGACCTCCTGAGCACCCTGCCTGCCCAAAATTTTATGATCTTGTGATTTCACTAATTTATCCTCCTCCAGACCAGTTTCCTCACTGAAAGCCACCCTTCTCCCTGGAGCAGCTGAGGTTGCATCATGCTCTCCGCTGCAAAAGCCTCCTCTAAGCTGTGTGTTTCCACAGTAAGTATATCTAAAACCTCAAAATGTAAAGCGTATGCTTTCTGTTTGTCTCCCATTTTATGGAAGGACAGTCGTTCTTAAAAATGCCCTGGGGTGTTTCACAGGCAGGTATTGCTTTTACCTCTTCCCTACTCCAGAGCAGTGAGCTCCTGGCAGAGGTGGCCATTGCGTGTGCCAGTGCTACAATATACACAGCTGACAGATCAGCAACATCTGCACTGCCTGTCGCCCTTTGTAAGTGATATACAGTGTGATTCTGCAAAAGGAGTTTGGGTGTTTGCTCTCATCTGTGCACTAATATTTTACCAGGGGAATTTGGTACTGGCTTTGAGAAGGCTCTGTGGCCTGGGAGGTTCAGAAAATGTCTGTATGTATTGCAAACATAGCGAATGCTTTTTTAAAAAGTACAGACAGGTGGAGTTTATATTGCTGGAAATAATCTAATGCCCCAATTTTCTCTGCTGCTGCAGGCTGGGAAGGGAAGGGTGATGGCCACTCACACAGGAGAAGGGCAGCTCTGTCATACAGACCTGCGGCACCCTGATTGTGGTGGCTCTGATATAGAATCATAGAATAGTTTGGGTTGGAAGGGACCGTAAAGATCATCTAGTTCCAACCCCCCTGCCATCAGCAGGGACACCTTCCATTAGACCACGTTGCTCAAAGCCCCATCCAACCTGGCCTTGAACACTTCCAGGGAGGGGGCATCCACAACTTCCTTGGGCAACCTGTTCCAGTGTCTGACCACCCTCACAGTGAAGAATTTCTTCCTAATATCTAATCCAGACCTACCCCCTTCCAGTTTAAAGCCATTACCCCTTATTTTGTCACTAACTGCCCTTATAAAAAGTCCCTCCTCAGCTTTCTTGTAGGGTGGTTTAGATACATTCACAGCTTGCCTGGAATTAGTGTTGGGGACATTTGTTGCCCTCAGGTTTAGTGTTCCTTCAATCTTATTAAGGAAAAAAAAAGTTCCACGAATAAGTTATTGCAAAACCAGGTTGACCCATTCAAGCATGCAGATGTTTTATTTAAATATTCCTCAAATGTCTATTTATTCAGCATAATGCATGTATTATGCTGCCTTCTGAAATACGATATATGACTGTCAAACAAAATTGTCAAAAACAACAACCTTGGTTTCTTTGTATGATACACAGAAATAATTACATTTCATGTACAGTACAGATGCATTTTACACAGTCATCAAAAGTCGTTCACTACCAAAACAGCATTTAAATCACCTAAAACACCAAAAGAATGTGTATTTCCCAAATTCAGAATAAATTAACGATTTTGCATGTGACGTATGGAAATAGGAGACAGGACTGGAATTCTGCAATATCATACTAAATTATTCCTTAAGCTGCATTTTAAAAATGAAAGTACAAGTTGCTTCAGGGGTATAACTGTTATGCAAGTGTATTGCTGTAGTGCATTATTTTTAGTCCATATGAAAAGGAGAATAAAGAGATTTTGAAAAACACATGACCTGATGGAGTCAGTAAGTTTCCTGTGTTGTACGTAGTCTGTCCCATAGTGGGTTTAGGAACTGCCTGGTTGTGTTATTTACCTGATATAACTAGTCAAGAAGTACCATGTGGCATAAACAAGCGAATATCAAGGCAGTTTTTGTGTCAACAAATGTTTGGCAAAAGGTGAGGACCAAGCCGTTTTTTGTATGAGTAACCATGGGTAGAAGTAGGATGCAAGTGAAAACTCTGGGCCTGTTCTGCCTCTCTTTTAAACCCTGTCAAAACTTACATAACCCCCCAGCTTCAGCAGATCTACTGCAATTTTGCAGCAGGGTAAAAGAGAGGAAAGCATTGTCAGGTTGCAGAGTTCCTCAGAAGGAGCACTCCTCTGGGTCAGAGGACAGTCTGTGCTTCTGCTCTCTGGTAAGGTTTGAAAGAAATGGAGAAGCTCAGTTTACAATGAGCAAGTTATTCCAATTTGCAGAAAAAGTGGGAAGTTACCTGCAAATTAACCAAACTTTCGAATAAGTAAACAGTAAGCAAAGAGAGTCGTGTGTGACATTATGTACTCCTTTTAATTGCAGTTTAATTCTAATATGTGACGTTGTTGTATTTTGGTGTGTATACTGTAGCATGATAGTTCATTATCTGCTTTTCAATCTTTGTTGACAGGTAAAAAGACCAGTATTTGTGTGCAGTAAAAAGTGTATCATCTGAAGGTTTCAGTTTTTAGTGGGTGTTTACTCTTAATGTAAATTTTCAGGTCAGTAGAATGCTAGCAAATACTGTACTGAAACATACACTACTCAAACTATTAAGTAACTGTGTTAATCATTTATTGTAATGGCATCTAATGCACTGAGCCTTTTGATTTATATATGCATATTTTATTTTGCAGACATGCAATTATTTCTGATTCAGTGTTTTTGATGTATATGTGTATGTATTGATATGCACATATTCCATGTATATTTGATGTATATTATGTATGGTATGACATGTATATAGGAAGCATTATGATACATCTCCTAATGCACTCTCATGAAGAAAAATGACACTTTTTTAATCAGAAAGGTTTCTAGTACCATCAATGTCTTTTAAAAATGAAGCCAAAAAGCCTTAACTAGTAAAGCCTTCATATTAGCTTTTAGGCCTGCCCATGTGGGTAAATTCCAATTGAAATAAATTATATTTTTTAAAACTTTGGGACCCAATCCATTATTCTATCAGTGTTCTTAGGTAATTAAATATCTTCACACAATATAAATTCTCCAACAAATTTTAGAATGCAAGTTTACAGATAATTACAAAAAGAATTTAGCTATTTTTTTTACTGAATATCTTTTGATGTCTTCCAGCGTAGCCAATATTCTGGATGCTGCAGAATGACAACAAGGACAGTATGGAGATAAGTGTTGGCTGATCCCAAAAACACCTTTGTTGTAATTTTAATTCAAATAGAATTGATCCTGCAAGAGTATGCTGGGACAAGAGGTTTGTTCTGAAAATATGGAAGTAAGGAAGATGTCTGTGGAAGAAAGGACTGTGTTGATTCATCAGTAGCCTTGAAATCCCAAATAGTATGATACTGTTGGAGTGGACAACAAACCATTATAGAAATAGAGGACAGTGAACAAAAAGAACAATGACTGAATAGCACATTTGTGGTGTACAGTTTGGCTGTAAGATTATTTAAATGTTTGCCATTAGAAGTTTATAGTGTAGATGAAGTTGTATAAAATACCTTAAAAAAAAAAAATCCTGATTCCTGATACAACAGGTGTACAGTGACTTATTGCAGTTGTAACAGTACCTAGGAAGCAAGAGAAAACAACAGTAAATATTGAACTAACTGAACACCTTTAGTTCACTAATGAGTGTTGGAATAAGAAATACTGCATTTTTCAAAGGGAAGTTATTTGTACAACTATCATGGAACATTAACAATCAGCTTGTTGTAAGTGCACGGAAATGCCCTTTCTACAGTAATATTTTATCATGCCTAATCTGAAAAACAACAAAAGTAAACTGAGATCACAGCTCCAAATAATTTCAGCATGCATTATGATTGGAGTTCTTTCAGTCAGTACAAACATATTTCATATGAGCAGTTTTCTTTTTTTTTTATGGTTTCTCAACAAGTTTGTGGTTTGTTAACAGGAAAAAAAAGACACGTTATCAAAATGTTTCTTGTTTTTTTGCATTCAGCAAAACACAGGTTTGTTTCTATTTTTTGTTTTCTGTTTGTTTGTTTTCTAAAAAGAGCTCTCATGATAAGAAGAAGCATCAATGGGGACATTTCATTGTGCTCATATAGTAAGTCAGGATGGTCACAGAAGATTCCACTGTGCGTCAGTTCGAGCAAGGGCTAAGGAACTCCTGGTTCACACGCTATGACACCAAAACCCACAAAGTGTTTTGTTTCTCCTGAACCTCTCGGTCTGTGGCCACTGGTGCACACGTCAAGGGGCGTTGTCTTTGTCAGCTCTCTTGTTCCTCACGACTCATTTCTCACTGCTTGAGCTCAACTTGCAAGTGGTCTTTATGCTAATTTATAAATAATTCCTTATTTTATAAAGCAGATACTCTGACAATGTTTCCTCCTGAATACTCAGGAGACTCTGGCCTATCATCTCCTTCGGGTGTGGTGACTGGAGGTGTTGGGATGCTAATTATTGCTGTAGTGACGTAAGGCTGCTCACAGTTTAGTTTAACGCACTCTTCCACTTTGGCATTTAAGCTGGAACGGCTGGAGGAAGAAACAAAAATCCATGAAGAAACCAAGTCCATGTTACTGCAAACCTCTCATGCCCAATTCCGCTTCCAGACAGCTGTCCCCTTCCTGCCCTGGTAGAGAGCTCAGAGGTGCTGGGAGACGCCACCCCCACCACCCTTCAACCCGGCAGCAGATGGTCCATGGCTATGTCCATGGACAAGCCTCCTTTCTCCTTTCAACCCAGCAGCAGGTGTTCTATGGCTGTTGTCCATGGATAGGCCCCTTTCTCCATTTCTTCTCACCATTTCAGCACTTCTAAAAGTTTCTGGGCTAATCACCCAAGTGTTTCTGAGCAGGGGAAGCATTTGAGCTGCTCCCTGGGAACAAAGTTTGCATAGCCAAATGTCTTGCTATGCAGGATGGGGTAAACTAAGGGGTAGTCCCAGACTCCTACTGATTCCTCCATGCCATGCTTATTTAAGAACATTTGTGTATTATTTATCCACAAGACTAAGACACAGTGATATATGCACTAATAAAGGCCGACATGTTCATGGAGTTCCTGCAGTACCTCAGCATCATAAGAAACCTGTAATACTCAGACCGTTTTGAAGTGAAACTGGCGTTTTGTATTTGTGTTTTTAGCCTGTTTTTTTTAGCACAAAGCTGGTACCTTGTGCTTTTACATACTCTGTGACTGGAAGCATGTTGCAGGAAAGTCCTCTAGCAAAGAAAGAATGGATCCAGGCAGAATGTTTCCTCAAAAGCTAAGACAGATTGGAGCTTTGTGCTGGCCAGGAGGTCTCACTGCACAACAGCCAAAAACCTTCAGTAGCTACAAGCTGATGGATTGTTCGTGGAAGTGAAATCCAAACCTAGTAACTGTACAAAACAAGCTACTCAAAACGTAACTTCACAAGACAATCTCTATGGCAACTAGTGCTGAAAATGCTTTTTCTTTTTTAATGGCGGCATGTTTGAGTTCTATAGAAAACACTTCTGAGTTTCCCAAGACCTTTGTAGTGTTTTCAGAAGTGGTGTTTGGATAGACTTGGAAGTCAAACGGTTTACTTGTGAGAGTAGAGAGATGTTCAGTAAATTAGACTCTTAAATTGCACTTTCCTCACTTTTGCCATAACTCCTCAAACTAGGAAATACATTTTTCTTATCCGTTTCAGATTTTTTATTTAGAAGAGCCTTTCTTATGACTATCACACTTAAGCCTCTGGGAATCAGTTTTATTTCTCTGCTCAGTGGAAATGTAAAGGAAGTCTCATTTGTCCTATGCTTCTGAACCAGTAGAAATAGCAGGGACAGACCTTTCTTTCTTTTCCCTTTTGCTTGCCTCATACATCTGAATTGCACATTTTTCTATGCTATTTTTTTCTTGTTATGTGTTTTTCCATGGCATATATTTGGTGCTCTATTTAATTTGGGGTCCCTGGATGCTATTCACTGCAAATAGTAGTTTGTGGGGAGGGCATGAGAGGGCAGAAATGGTTGTAGAGAGACTGTTCTGTTATCTTGGATTAAGCTTGGAGCAAACTCAGTGCAGGATGTTTCAGTACTAGTGTCAGTGCTAGATGACTATTCGACTGTCATCTGTAGCCTCACAGCCTACCTGCAGAGGCCACAACATCTCTACAACTCTTGTCTAAGGAAGAAAGGGGCTTCAGCTCTGATGCAAGTGAAGTACCTGTTAGACAGAGGCGTCCTCTCCACACATCTGATCTGGATGGTGCTGAGCTCTTGCACGCTGCCTGGACGGCTGCCAGTGATGGTGGTGTTTGGGATGCGGTATGTCTTTTTATGTCGTCGTGAGCAGCAAGTGCTGGTAACACCTTGTTGAGACGAGAGAGAGGGGCTGTGGCTGGGGGGTCTATTGACTGTGGAAACCTCCATACAGCTCTCTTCATAGACTTGCTCATCCACAAACTCATGATTCTAGCCCAGAGGAATCCAACAAAGGGACAAAGCACACACAGAAAGATAATTAAATTGAACATATTAATCATGATTGTTTAAAGGCTTATATTGACACAACTGAATAAACTGTGAAAGTGAGACAGCTTATTCTTGATTATAGTGTTTATCCCATATTAGCCTGGGCTGAATACCAATACAAATTTAAATACTGGAACAAAATGCTCAGAGGTCTAAATAAGAAAAAGTTAATCTAAATTATTTTGTAAAATAGCACGATTGTGATGTAGTTTGCATTATAAATAGCTGTATAATCTATGAAGTGCCACAAAATATGGGATTATGTTTATTAATAAAAATGCAAGTGGTGCTTATGTAAAAGCTCTACATATCATTTGGAAATAAAAAAGATTTATTTTATTGAACTATAATAAAATAAAAATAATAAATATTTTCCAGATGAGTTTATAAAGCTTCCTGTTGAATTACATAGTAGAAATCAGGATCTGAAACAGTGTGTTTCAAGGTATGCGTCAATGTAAAAGAAAAAGATTCAATTAAATAGAAGTTTTTATTAGAGGAGATGAGACAGTTATATAAAAGCATCCAAAAAGTTCCTCATTACTGTAGACACATATATTGAACACAGTTTAGAAGGCAGCATTTAGTTAAATGACGTAGTCCTTATTCATACAACCTTTGCTTAGTCCCAGCACAGACAGTAGTCTTATGGGCTTGTCATAGAGCTGAATCCAAATTCAAGCAAACACCTACTGGTTTGCATTGACTCAGTAGGTGATTAGGGAGTGTTTCACACATAGCCGTGATATCCATATTATATTTGCGTGCGAAAAGTGTGAAATAGTGGTGTTGTTTGGGGGGGGAGGAATAGCAGCCCAAACTAAGCAGAGATTAAGATATGTTCATGCACAGTTTGAGAAAGCCTCCTTAAAAAAGCAAAAAATCTTTCCAGTTACTACTGGAATCAGTCTGCATGTCCTGAGAATGGTTTAGGGAGCATTTTCTGGGTTGTTTTACCCTCTACTCAAGTCTCGTTCACTTCAGGTTTGTTATACTGCTGCATCTTCATGTATTAGAATGAGAAACATTATTTTTTTCCCTCTAAAGAATGGTGCACTAATTGTAAAGGTGCTGATGTTGTTTTCCAGGAGAATTACAGTACAGTGCTAATATAGAATAAGTGAGTAAAGTAAAGAGAGTAATAACTGTAGCCAAGTGTAGCAAATGGAAATACTTTTATAGGCATATTATTTTTATTTTCATTTCTTCTGTTCTTATTCACTCTGACATAAGTTTGTGTGGAAATAAGTGGCATTGAAGAATGTCTATTTCAAGTAATACGGAAAGAACTTGCTTGAAATTTGACTTCTATAAGGCGTATGTCAGTCACAATCAAAATTTTGAATGTGATCAGACAGTGGACATAAAATTCAGAGAGAAAAATTACCCAATTGAAATTTTTAGATTAACTTCAGTGGTTTACAGTATATTTGCCAAGAACTCTGCTAGTTTTCCAATTAAAAGTAATTTTTTGCTTCTTAAAACTTTTATGGAATGACCAACTCAATTCGACTCCATTAAAGAGGGTTATTGAGTTACCTTTTAATATAATCTGGAAACATTTTGAAACTATACAATGAGTCAAGTTAATATATTTCATAGAATCATAGAATCACAGAATG